CCCCAGCGCTTCCCCCCAAGGCATCCCCACCGCCTCTGCAGTGGGGCCGGAGAGGGCACTGAGCTGCTGCAGATACCGGACTTGCGGTTCTGGCTGCCTCCTTTCGCAGACTCCTCCATCTCTATCTTTCTCTTTCTTTAATTTATGACCTCTCAGCTCCTGTTGACACAGTTTTCCACACTGCCTATATTGTAGGATTGCTTTGTAATATACGCCGAATCAGCCTAGCCGTCAGCCAACACACATAAGGGTGGGTATTTGATATTTCGCAGCTATTTAGTAATGCTCGGCTCCATCTGAAGATGACAACAATTCGCCTCGCCTCCAAGTTATCCATGAATTACAGCTTGAGATCCATTTTCCTTTTGTAACGTCTTCAAGCTTACCAAAGCAAGACACCTAAATAGCTCCGGGAGATTTCCTCCTGGCCTGGCCGTTAAACAGACATTTAACTATTCCCTTTCGATAACTAAACCTGCTTTCCGCAGATGCTGGTCTTTTTTATTGCAGAAGCAGGAATGCGGCGAAATATTTATATATTTGTTAGTAAAAGCTAGAAAATAAGCTCTGAACATGCTGTAAAAAATATTCGGTTACTTACCGATCCGACCAGTTAAACACGCATGAAACTGATTTCAGGAGCGCAAGTCATTCGGGCGAGCACTGGCCGAGGTAGGCGTAGGCAGGCAGCAAGCTGGAAAAGAATCAGTGAGAGTCGGGTTTACTGTTAGTGTCTCAGAGCAATTCTTTCCGGAAGAAAATACCGTGCCTGGCCGAACCCCGAGCTCTCCGCTGCCTCGGTTAAGCCGGCAGCCGCGAAGCCGGAGCCAGCCTTCGCTAACTCGGACCGCAAGCCGGGTGACAGACAAGGCGGAGTAACTTCGTCTCCCTCCTCACGGGAGCTACTGAGCCCTTGGTGGATATTAACCAGCAGTAAAAAATATAAGCCGGAGCGCTGCTGGGGCACGCCTGTCACAACCGGGCAATCGATAAAGTGCCCCCCGAAGCCGGTTTTGTTTGTTCCCCTACCGGACCGGCACCAAGCGCTTGGCAAAAGCGACCTGGGCGCGCATCGAGCTCTCGCACAGATTTTTGCCGAGAAGTTCCCCGGATCCATACTGTACCTGGTTGGGGATTATCCGATATTTAAGTTTTAATGAGTTTGTTGGTTTTTTGATTGTCGGTTGTTGGTTGTTTGGGTTTGGTTTTTTGGTTTTGTTTGGTTTTGGTTTTTTTTAACGCAGATTTTACAGTAAGGCATCTGCTGAACACTTGCATTAACCTCTGCCTCCATGATAATTTTTCCCCCCTTGTTTTAATTACATTATGGATGCGGAGGGGCAGCCAATCCTAAAAGAGGAGCTCGGCAATTAGCAGGGCGAACATCAAAAAGTTTTATTGCGGAGGGCGGCGGGCCCCGCCCCCGCCGCCAGCCATTGGCGGCCGCCCCTTCTGACGACATATATTAACCCGAGCGGCCCTAAACATGTAGCTGTACATGGAGATCGTGCCGGGGAGCCCTGCCAGTGCCCCGCGCCGCGCCGAGCCCCGCCG